ATTTAAGGAAGGAATGGCATTTCATATTTTTTTTTGTCAGATATGTGATTTCAATACATAAATATAATATCAAAATTAATTAAAATATAAATCATGAATTAAAAATTAAAAGTTCATCAAACAATATCCAAATTCTATTATCTAATGTCTTCAACCAAGATCTAAAGCTCAATTATTAATGTATGGAGTCTAATGAACATTGTTCAAAAATGTAAAAGTATAAACATATGATATTATATGGATTTGATGTCATCAAAATTCATAAATAAGTTCAAATATTTATTGTGTCAATTTGTTCGTCTATAATAAATCTAGATTAATATAATCAAACATTTATGATGTCATTTATTGTCTTAATGACTCAAGATTCTTAGCTTACAAATATGATTATAAACCAATTATATATATGGGCAACTTCAATTTCATTGTTCATTTATTAATTTTATCAATCATATCACTTAATTATCTAAATAATATTAATTAAATCACATGCGGTTAATATTTATTTAAAAAGTAATATATCAATTTAAAAAATATTATAATTGCAAATTGGATCTTTATATTAGTTTAATCCTAATTTCAAATTGATTTAATAAATTTGATCATTCAATCATATAGTGACACATGTGAAAAAGATACAACAACTTTGATAATTGAATCAAGTCATTTTATTAGATAAAGTTTCACATCAATTTTTTTTGAAGTTAACTCAAGACCATTGGGTGTGAAACAAAAGGCATTATCATTGAGACAAATCCAATGTTTATAGAATAAACTGATAATAAATTATGTAGTTCAATAATATATTTTTTTCAAACTAATCTCAATACGTACTAAAATCTTCTTCAATCCACTCTAATCGCATAAACATAGAACACACTCCATAAAAAATAACTTTACGATAAAAAAACACTAAACATAAAGAAAATACAGAAAAAGAAAAATGTTCTTGGCTTTTGTCTAAAATTTAATTACAATAAAAATTTAAGATGGCTTACAAAGCGAAATTTTTTTGATTAAGCTAAGGTAATTATAAATAGTATTTATTCTAAATACTCTCAATCATTTGACAATGAACGCTCAATCACTCTTATAGTCGCTAGTGCTCGAACCCATGACCTCTAGGAACAACAATAGTTCTTTTAACTACACAGATAAGTTGGTTCATACTTTCAAAGCGGAAACTAAATTTGCAATATAATCTCTTATATATATATTTATATAATTAAAATTTATTATTTAAAATCTGTTATTTTAATTACACCACTACTTCATTGCGATTTAATCATTATTTGTAGATTACATCATTGTTAAAATTTATACAATATATATTTATGTAAAATGTTTTATTTCGACAAAGATAAATGCGGCACGTCTTTCTTTCAAATTATAAAATTTTTAATGAAAAAGTAACAAATAATTGGCTAAATTATAAGCAAAAAAGGAAATGAGTCTAATGGGCTGTAAAACTGGCCAAGAATATAAATAAGTTGCAAGCATTGATAGTTGGAAGGCCAATCAGGCAGCCCCGATGGATTTCTTCATTTTCATTGTCACCATCTTTTGTTTTTGCACCTTTATCGTCTATCTCTTTCATGTTCTCTGGCTCAACGGAGAGAATCGTCGACTGATTCTCCGAAAGCAAGGGATCAAAGGTCCAGTACCTACCTTCCTTTTGGGCAACGTTCCTCAAATGAAGCGAATGCTTCCCCCTGCTAAAGATCAGTCCCCAAACATGCAGGCGCAGGAGCCCTTGTCCTCTCGTCATTGTTTAATGAATCTCTTCCCTTATTTTATGCAGTGGACTAAACGATACGGTATCTGTTATATATATAGCCTAAATCCTTCTTCATTTGTCACAATGAATAATCCACTTATTAAACATGATTCTGGAATTCGAATCCCACAGGTCAGTCGTTCTTGTTTGCACTTGGGAGGTCACAGTTCATGTTTGTAGCTGACACTTATTTCGTAAGAGAAATAAACTGCTTCACGTCGTTGGATATGGGGAAACCTGCTTACCTACAGAAAGATCGTGGAGCTTTGCTAGGGAAGGGTCTTATCACCACAAATGGCCCAGTCTGGTATTATCAGAGAAAAACTATAGTTCCCCATCTTTTCATGGACAAGGTCAAGGTACAAATTAAAGTTCAAAGGCTTAAGCTTTCTGTTAATTATACAATACATTTCCACTTAAATGAATATCTTGTGGCTGTAGGATATGATGAAGCTAATGGTGGAGTCCGGCGGGAAACTGGTGAAATCATGGGGGAAATATAATTGAAGCTAATGGTGGGATTGCAGACATCAGAGTGGATGACTGTGTAAGAAGCTTCACTTCTTATGTCATTTCGAAGGTGGTTTTTGGAGATGAGTGGGAAAAGGGAATGGAAATATTTCCAAAATCACTAGCTCTCATTAATGCCATGAGCTCACCAACAATACTAAGTGGTATCCCTTTCTTCAGGTAGTTTGCTGGCATTTTGAGTTAAAAAATCTGTTACAATGCTCAATCTGATTATTTATCCCCCCCCCCCATATTAGATATCTTCCCACTAAGAACAATAGAGAGATTTGGAGGCTTGAGAAGGAGATTCATTCGATAATTATGGGGATAGTAAATAAGCACTCTGAGAGTGAGACCGCTTGTAAAGATTTGTTGCAAGTGATGATTGAAGGTTCAAAAGGTAATCTCGAGCCATATATAGCAGCCGACCAGTTCATAGTCGACAACTGCAAGGACATCTGCATCCCTGCCTCCGAAGTTACCGCAGTTTCCGCCATATGGGGACTAATGTTATTGGCTTCACATCCGGAATGGCAAACTCGTATTCGTGCTGAAGTTTCACAAGTGTGCAAGGATGGCGCGCTGAATTTCGACATGCTTCACAAGATGAAAGCGGTGCGTAATATGACTATATATGACTCGAAATTCTGGCCTCAAACTCTAAATTTCTACATGTTTATTGCAGTTAAAAATGGTGATTCTTGAGGTGTTGAGACTTTATCCAGCAACAGCATTTGTTTCAAGGCAGGCTTTGCAAAATCTGAAGCTGGGTGACGTAGAAATCCCAAAAGGGGTTAATATTTGGTTTATGGATGCTAGAATTGCACACCGATCCTAAATTCTGGGGACCAGATTCAGAAAAGTTCAATCCTGAGAGGTTCGGCAATGGCATTTCAAGAGCATGCAAAAGTTGTCAAGCCTACATTCCTTTCGGTTTAGGGGCTCGAGTGTGTCCTGGGCAGAGCCTTGCCATGACTGAACTTCAGGTGTTGTTTGCAATCATCGTGTCCAACTTCAGCCTCACCATAGCTCCAACCTATCGCCACTCGCCTCAATACGCATTGCTGATCCAGCCGGAATTTGGCGTAAATCTCCTTGTTCGAAGGATATGAGCGCGATTTGTTCCTCCTGTCGGTAATGTCTGTTAGAAAATAGAGAACTGTAAAACAAAATTGTTAGCATTGAATAACAAATAATAATAAAAGAAAAAAAGATAAATAAAATGATTTAATGTATTGTGGTAAAATGATTTAATTTTGTTTGGATTGATGTAATCCTGAAAATGGACGTTGCCTACCAAAATTAACACAATCTTTCAAACCTCGTACACTCGAAGTGAGGAAATGAAACTCACTTGTGCGGTTGTGATGCTCGCTTTGATAAGAAAATTCCAAGAAAGAAATACATAAATCATCAAAATGTATATATGATTAGGAAGTGAACAATCCCTTTTATGGGAGTGGTAGAGGGATAAATTTATCAAATGACAATTACCCACTCCACCCACTCACTAATAGTCAAATATAGGTAACACAACCCCTAAAAATAACCTCCCATTATTTGCTTTATAATCAATCCCACACTAATACAAATAACTAGACAATTTTAAATACAAGAAAAGAGTAACAATGAAGTTAGTCCCTTAAGAACTAGTAAATGTATCTGGAACTGATTCATAGTGGAATAAATATTTCTTTTCTTAATAAGTGAATGAATCTAGAACTTGTTAAAATAAGAGTAAATTCACAACACGCGAGTAACTTCTTCACCAAGTGAGTTCCGCGATAGATAAACAAATTTAGCCAATATACCTCGGGATGCTAGTAAGTGTTCTAGAAAGACCACCCAAAGTCTTTCATAAAATGTGGCTAATCTTTCACATTTACATAGGTGATTTCATCAAAGTTTGTCTCAGTATAAACCACCCAAATAAATGATACAAAATCATTAAGAGTACTCAGAAGCCTCAATCTCAATTTTTAAGGTGCATTGAATTCATGAAGTCTGTCTCACAAAGACCACCTGAAATATGAATTCAGTAAGAACATTTAATTGTTCATGTGATATCTATAACTATATCTAAAAATTATGCAATAAATTATATATATAATGTTAATTATATTATTCAAAATTGATTTGAATTGATATTTATTTACTTATTTCTAAATTCATACTTATATTTAGTTTAATATTTTAAATTAACATTTATATGTTTTTGTCCAAATTGATACTTAAATAATGAATTTACATTTTCCACACATCTTGATGCGTTGTTATCGTAGTCAAATAAATATATTCAAATACGTATTAAAAATGTGTGAAAATTAAATTAAATTTAAGTGTTAAGTTTTATTAAAAAATATAAATAACAAGTTGAATCATGAAACTAAATTCAAATGTTAATCAAGCCTGTACTGAAAAAACATCACTCTAAACTTTAATATCTTGATAAACATTAAATTTTAATCTAGTGTGACCTAGCCCATGAAATAATCACTCCTAAACCCAGCCAATCATCCAATGGCCGTGATAAATCATTGTTAACAAAAACCCCTTCTCCTCGTTCACACTTCACATCCACCAAAGCGAAGAGAAACAGCGCTAGAGTACGAATCAGAAGATAAAATAAGGAAAGGAAGATGAAGAGGTGGTTCGATCCTTGGCCTGTTTTCTTCAAGAGAGAGTTCAACCGGACCTGGCCATTCCTTGTCGATTTCGCTGTAACCGGAACCATCATCACCAAGTTCTCCCTAGGTCTCACTGGTAACATCATTTTATACGCTCTTTTTCGCTGTAAACGTGTTGTTCGTCTCTCTTATTAATCACCTTTTATTTATTTATTTTTTTTTTGCAGAGGAAGATGTGAAGAACTCACCTTTCGCCCAGAAGCACAAGAAGTAAATAAGCCCTAGATTCGGATTCCGTGCAGTTCATTTTTTTAAAATGAAAAATGATTGAATTCGCGTTTGGTATGCAGGTGATCTGCAGATTACAAATGCTCATCTGGTTTGACGCTTCCGGTTGTTTTCATTATCTTCGTTTTTCGACGAGCTCCGGTATAAGAATAACGTCAAGAAATCACCAGTTCCGAATACTCAAGTTGCGAATTGTGATTCTTGTGATATCATTAATGGTTGTCTTTGAACAATGTTGAAACGCCATCTGCGGTTAGTGTTTAAGCCTTTATTGTATTATCATTTTGAGAATAATAAAATGACAATGTTTGCCAGTTTTATCAACTTAGAGATGGTCAAAGATGCATAGCTTGCCGTTCAAGATCGTTGAAGTGCGTCATTTCACCCAATTTTGGGCGGAGGGGTTGTTGAAAAGAGCATAACTAAAAGTAGGGAGTTGTTTGAAGAAAGATACTTTTTTTTATTAACAGCAGCAGCAAACAAAATTCATGGCATTCAAGACCATCATCCGTAAGGACCGAAAATTAAAATAGCAGCACAAAATTCCCACGTTCAATGGTTATGGTTTTTCTTCTTCTTTCTGGTATGATATAATAAAGATCAATCTGAGGCGAAGGGAGAACACACAGATTGCAGATATGTTCTGGCCAGCAGTGAATATCATTCCTCTATTAGTATAATTCACTAATGGTTTGGTCACGCTTTGGAGATTCCTAGCCTTGATCGGAAGTTTTCCACCATGAGCGGAAGCCCATCCCACAACGTTACTTGTGGCTCCCAACCTAGCACTTCTTTTGCCTTTGTGATGTCGGGTTTTCTCTGTCGAGGATCATCTGGAGTGTTCACCATATTTATCTCCACTTCAGGATTAATAAGCTGTGCAATATATGCACGCCATAAAACAGGATCAAGATAAACAAGTGATGCATAGAGGGTAAAAATAAAACAGAGAGAATATGGAACTCACCTCCTTAACTGTCTCGGCAAGCTCTAGCATTGTAAATTCACCTAAAACGGTACAAAAAGAATCGAAAATCAGAAAATACATGACAATGGCCATACGCCAAAAAGATAATATCACAGTGATCGTTAGATAACCTGGGTTCCCAATATTGATAGGATCAGTGTTCTGCCCCTCCATGAGACGAATAAGGCCGTCAACCTATATATATACACAAATACTCTAAATTCTTTTCAGGTAGAGAGATATCCGAACGAATCAAAGCCAGTCAAGAGATTTACAGCTGTCACATACCATGTCCGAGACATAACAGAAGCTGCGAGTTTGTGACCCAGGTTTTTGAACTGTAAGTGGTTCACCACTACAAAGTGCAAAAGGGATGTCAAATGAGAGATTGTACTTGCTCAGTAGAAAATCAAGGAAAAGTGTTTAGATGATCGACTAAAAGGTGACAGAAGCTGTAGTGGATAAGCGAATGGTTATATCATTGGCAACAAACCAAGAAATAAGCTGTAGTGGATAGGCGAATGGTTATATCATTGACAACAATACAGCGCATTAAAAGAAAAAAAATTACCGAAGTGCTTGAGCAATGAAGTTGCTGACAACACGCCCATCATCGATGTTCATCCGTGGCCCATATGTGTTGAAGATTCTAGCAATGCGTATCTCTAGGTAAACAATAAAAGGACAATTTCAAGACTAATAATTATAGGATAACTTCGTATAGGCAAACCAAGAAATTTTTACCTATCCCATGTTGCCTATGATAATCAAACATTAGGGTCTCAGCCACACGTTTCCCTTCATCATAGCAGCTCCGAACCCCTATAAGACAAAGAAGGCATTCAGTGTCCGAGTAATGCATTCATAAGATTAAACATCCTGCGAAGCTAACTTCCAAAATCCAATTCGACATTATACAGTATCAACTAGCAGCAGATTTGTATGAAAACAAGCTAAATATATTAATGGCAAGAATTTATCTTCTAGAGAAGATATTATATCTTCACGAGTACAGAAGTTTCAAGCAAAAACTGTCCAGCAAGATGAGTGAATTCATAAACGTGGCTCAGATTTCAATTGAAGAAACTTACCGATTGGATTAACATTACCCCAGTATGTTTCCGGTTGTGGATGGGTCAGGGGATCTCCATATACCTCTGAAGTTGATGTGAGCAAGATCCTGTTCCACAAAATCTCAATCAAGTAAAGCCAGTGTAGAAGGGTAATGTAGATAAATTTATAATGAACAGCATTCCCTAACCTTGCTCCAACCCGCTTGGCAAGTCCCAGCATGTTTAGTGTGCCGATGACATTTGTATTTATTGTCTATGGAAATATGTAGTAAAATTAAAGAAGTGCTTACTAATATTTCAGAAAACAATCGAAACACACCAACACCGACCTTCACGGGATTGTATTTATAGAAAATTGGAGAAGCCGGGCATGCAAGGTGGTAAATCTGATCAACCTCAACCAACAACGGCTCAGTAACATCTGCCGAGAAGAAAAAGTCTGATTAAATTACCAGAAACCTTTTTTGTATCAGCCAATGAACTTATCTCATCATAATTAGGAATAATTCATAAAAACGCCAAATTTCTCAAAATTGTTTGTTCTAATATATAGTCTACTATCATCTCAGCAGTATTTAAGTTCAGTTCAACAGTTCAAGTCTAAGCGCAGATGGTTAGAAACCATAAGTTACCATGACGAATAAGCTCAAATCTGGGATGATCTATCCACTTTCTAAGATTGTCCTTTGATCCAGTGAAGTAATTATCAACAACAATCACCTGGTATAATTGTGTAGAACATAATAATCTTAGTACATGGGTCAAATACTCGTATCAACTCAGCTAATAATTTCATAACAAGGGAGGTTGGATGTGATAAGAAAATTTCCAAACCTCGTTTTTCTCATTTTCCATCAATTTGTCAACTAAGTGAGAACCGATAAAACCAGCTCCTCCGGTAACCAGGATCCTCATGTTGGCCTATCGATAACAGTAAAATATAACATTAGAGATAAAAATGAAACGTAAATGACAGAAGAAGTTAAACTGTAATCCAAACTTAACAACAAGAACTTTATGTAATAAATAAGCAATTAAATAAACAAGATATCGGGCAGTGTTCACAAAACTAAGCTGAATACTTAACCATAGTAAAGGATTCTAGAACCCTAGAGCTACTTGATCATGAGGTACAAGTACGTTAGGATTCGTTCAGGAATCATCTTGAACATGGTTATAAACAAATCTGGATGCATGGTTTCGAAGTATTAGTTACTTTTATGTTACTCTAAATTATCTCATGGCAATTATTCAGAAAAGACAGAAAATTACACATCGAGCAATCAAGAAACAAGAGAGGTCGCTTTTTCGAACATGGCCTGCCAATAATTTTCTTTGAACATTTTACAAGATTAACAATCATTGAACAGATACACTACTAAATAAGAATTTTAACACGCAATCAAACATATTAGTGAGAGTACAAATTCAGAAAGAGGAATGCCATTGTATCTTCACACCCGAATCGATCATTATATCTGCGGGCAGTTCGTAGTCTGCCCTACTTAAAATTAATCTAATTAAAGCATCGTCCTAAGCCATAAGGCCATAACCAAAGGCTAATGTCATTCAAGCATTTTAACAGGTTGTAATTCACAAAGAAAAGCTACCACCCAGCTCCAGAAAACATCACAGTCTCTAGCTATCAATTAACACAAAGAAACAAAAAGCTGCAATAACATGATAGAGAATAACAAGATTTTAGCATTAAATTAAATGGCAAAAAACACACCTGAAAAAACTTAGAAAAGCGCAATGGAGATGGCAAGGGTGGTGGCTTTGAGGATGTTTGTTGTTCCCCATTGGATGAATTTGTCGCCATTGTTCAGATCTTGGGTTTTACCTCAATAACCTGCCAAAGAAAGGGACATGATTGAGGGGAAAAAAGACAAAAGAACAACTGAAAGATAACTTTTTCATGGATTTGAAGGGGGAAAAAGAATTAGTTTTTCAGATCAGAGATTAAAATAGAAGACCCGATTAAGAATTCGAGGCAATGATCAAACAAAAGTATTGAAGTGAGATTGATCTCTTACATGCACAAAAATAGCCTTATTTTTAGCCTAAAGAATGGTTCCATAATTCGAAACGTAATCCCCAAAAAAGATTTCAAAATTTCAAAATTGGTTGAATCGAAAACCCTTTCAACATTACGAAAAGCGAAAGATTTCATTTATGTATACTCGATAATAATCATAAAAATACAGATCAAACTAAAAGCCCATATTCCAATCATTTAATTTTCCATCTTAATTACCTAAAACAAACACGATTGAAGGGTGGGGTTTTTTGAGATTAGAGAATGGAGAGATTAGGAATTGGTAAATCAATAGTTACTCTGCTCGGTAAGTGTGTTTAAGGGGGAAATGAAGGGAGGTTATTATACATTATAATTATGAGTGGTAATTAATGCGGATTCTTTGCGTTTGCGTTTACAAGACAGAAATAGATGTATTTTCCTTTTTCTTTTACCGTTTTACGTGAGTTGTCTCTTGTAAGTTGTACTTGAAAGCCTACGTACGTATCTGGTAGCTGCCACGTGTTTAAAGTCAACGTGAAAAAATATTCACCAATTCAATTGGTAGAGCACAAGGTTCTTAATTTTAAAGTCGTGGGATCGAGTCTCATGGAGAGTATTTTATAATTTGGAGGTCTCTCACGAAAACTGCTCTCAATCTAATATTGAGGACAATCTACTATCTTACCTCCCCTTACCACATTACATATGAAAACAAGGAACAACCATTTTTAATCACAGTTTAAATTTCTCTACAATAAAATTCTAATTCTAATAACTATATTCATATAAAATAAAAATAATAATATTGATACATTTTTAAAATTTAAAAATATAATAATGAAAATTTTCAGAGATCGGGTACAAAAACAAAAGTACTCCTTAAGCTTTTTTTCTTCTTCCAAGACTTGGATCCGGTGAATAACCGATAAACTGACGATCGCCATAAGCCAGGTGCTAGTTCTTGAATCAGACAACATTTGCATGCATGTCACGTGTAGCCAAATTACTGCACACGTGTTATAACCTAGTATCAACTCAAAGCAAACAAGTATAGAAGCCGAAAAAGAAACTGTGTTTAAATATTTTCTAACATCTAGCTGAGATCAAGAAAATCAATCATATTTTTGGATCAAAAGAAGAAAAAAAACAATGGCGTCTGGTCTTAACCCAGTTCTGGGTTACACCATATTTTACGTTAGGGACGTAGCCAAATCTGTTGATTTCTATGAAAAAGCCTTTGGTTACAATGTTCGTCGCTTGGACG